AGTTATATTTAAAGCAAGAAAGACATTATTGCTAATTAATTTACAAAAGCTTTTTGTCTTAAGTTCAAATGACAGAAAAAAGCAAAAAAAAAATACGATTTTAAAAGTAAAACTGTGCATACTACTTTAAAGCAAATGTGTATTTCAGTTTATGGGGTAAAATTATGGAATAGTTTGGATGACGATTTGAAAAAAAAGTTCTACTTTAAATCAATTTAAAATACTTTTTAAGGAAAAAATTATTAAGTCTTATACACTTTTGAGTTAATAAGGAGAACGATAAATTGTTTGCAGATTCTATTTGTGATTTAAAGTAAAACTGTGCGTACTACTTTAAAGCAAATGTGTATTTCAGTTTATGGGGTAAAATTATGGAATAGTTTGGATGACGATTTGAAAAAAACGTTCTACTTTAAATCAATTTAAAATACTTTATAAGGAAAAARTTATTAAGTCTTATACACTTTTGAGTTAACGAGGAGAATGATATATTGTTTGCAGATTCTATTTGTGATTTAATGTATGTGGCCATAAAAAAGTAATTGTAACTAGACATGGGATTTTACGATGTAAAAACAAGTGTGCATTGCCATGTAGCATGTCACTGCAGCATGGGTTTGCCTGCAGCATTGGACTTGCAGAAGGAACTTTGACCAAGTTCAAATGTGTTTTCTATACCAGCTTGTGCCTGTCGCATCGACAGGTGTTTGTAATTAAGGTAATTGTGTGACAATATGAAGTTGGAAGAGATTTTTTGTTAAAGTTGCATTAGTTGGGATTTGAACCCTGATCTCCCACATGAAAGTTCATGACATAGACTGTTAGACCAATGGAGCTGTGGTAGAAGGTGGTGGCAGGGGTTGGTTTGTATGTGTGCAGAAAGAGGCCACATTGCCAAACAATTATTGACACAAAAATGCATAATATTACAACAATAGAGCAGTATTAAGACAATATTATAGTGAAACATCAAAATACAATCATATTAGTATTGTAAACACTGAACTGTTGAGATTAAATATAAAAAACTATGGTGCAGTACCAAGTTGAGTACAGCTGGGGCATTGGACCATTACAAGGCCCTATTGACTCCCATTATATGAATTTGGAATAAAGTTTAAACATTAATATTTCAAAAACTACAAGTTGTGCAGGTACCAAAAGGCATAGCAATCATTTGGCACAGGACCTTTACAGATAGAAATTACAATGGCAGCTCTAGGACAATGTAGGCAGGAGCATTGGACTTTCAGAATGAACTTTGACCAAGTTCAAATGTGTTTTCTATACCAGCTTGTGCCTGTCACGTCAGCAGGTGTTTGTAATTAAGGTAATTGTGTGACAATATGAAGTTTAAAGAGATTTTTGTTAAAGTTGCAGTAGCTGGATTTGAACCCTGATCTCCCGCATGAAAGCCCACAGTGCTCATCATGAGAATATATGAGATGTGGCTGAAGACAATCGCAGGGATTAGATTGTATGTACAGTATACAGAAAGAGTTTACCTTGCCAATGCAATTCTTGACACTTGAGTGCAATGTATTACAACAATAGGACAACATAAAGACAGTATTACAGTAAAACATCAAAATACAATCATATTAATATTGTAATCACTGAACTACTGAGTTTAAATATTATGAAACTATGGTGCAGTACCAAGTTGAGTACAGCTGGGGGCAGTATTGGACCATTACAAGGCCCCATTGACTCCCATTACATGAATTTGGAATAAAGTTTAAACATTAATATTTCAAAAACTACAAGTTGTGCAGGTACCAAAAGGCATAGCAATCATTTGGCACAGGACCTTTACAGATAGAAATTACAATGGCAGCTCTAGGACAAAGTATGGAAGAGGAGAAGCATGGCAAAGTTGAGATGACTTGGATGGGAAACGAATCACAATAGTGATTGAGAAAGTTGAGAAAGGAGCATGTTTATGCAAGGTTTTTCTTCTTCCTGCTCCCTTTTCACTCATGCATAGAATACTGTATGTTAAACGAAAATATGTTTGTATGTTATAATGAGGAAAATTGTTGAATTGAGTGAACAAACTTATTGATTGACTGATTGATTGAATGTCTATTTTTATTTTAAGGATGAAAAACACACAAGCCAGTAGCTCCCTCTGGTGGTGTGGAGGAATGAGGGCCTCTGGATGAAGGCCATGGAGCTGAAAGTGTGGGTGGACGGGGTGCAGCGCATCGTGTGCGGCGTCACAGAGTTCACCACTTGCCAGGAAGTGGTCATTGCTTTGGCACAAGCCATCGGTAAGCTCAAAACATGTCCATAATAAAGAATGCACAAGTGACAAATTCAAAAGATTAATTTGATGATGAAACAAATCRTAGTCCGACTGGTTTAGATGAAATGGGATCTATTTTTATGATGTGGACTGTGTCCAGTATTGGGTGGGCAAGATGTCAAACTGATTTGCAGTGAGAAATTGCACAACAAATAAAAAGTGACAGGAGGGTTACAGAGATTTTCATCATAAACAGCCCCTTACAGAACCAGATGAGTCATGCTGCAGTCTTTTTTTTGAGTTTATTGATGAGTGCAGTGTGGCTGCAGCGACAACAKCTTCACACGCTGCATCTAGGGGGTTTGTTTGTTTGCCTTGTTTTCGAGTTGAGTTTGTCTCTAACCAGGGACACGTTGGAGTTAAAGCACGTCCGTCACAGTGACAGTGTAGAAAGCAGCGCATTCACCGGCCCCCTTTGTCAGCTCGGCCTTTTATTGTCCGGGCCAGGGCGCTTTGATGTAAATGGCTGTGGTGATGAATGCACCTCTTTTTTACAAGGACCCTTGCTGTGCAGCGGGGGACGAGGGTGGAACAGTTCAGCTCTTATCTGTATGTGTACAGACTAGAATGGAGGAGTACACAGACGCACACACAAAAAGCGGAGAACCATTAAACCCTCGGACGACACAATTGCTGCTTGTTGAGTTGAATTTTTCCCACAGTAAAACTTTTAACCCATCACACTGGTGAGATGTTTTGAACATGAGAACAAACACTTATTATTATTGTTATAAATGCTTTTTACTTATATTTCCCTATAGTACAGGTACTTATTATTATTTGTCAATGAAAAATAGCAGGATTAGTGCTGTTCCCCCTTTTTATAGTTAGTTTTACAGTTTAGCTTCTCAACGTAGTCAAAGTTTGGCCTTTAAAGGGAWCCCTGATTAGTTGTAACATTAGACTTTATTTTTAAACATATATTTTAACTGTAAAATAAAGACTGTAAACATACTGTAGGATGTTCAGTTTTTATCATTTTTAAACTAAAAGTTTAAAAATATATTACACGGCCGGGGCCATTTTATTTACACACAAAGCATTCTGGGTAAATGATGACGTGGATAGGTCCTCAGTGTGAGCGAGCTATATCCACCCTGAAGGTTAATCTTGGACAATATCTGACGATTGTCTCTTTTAAATGAAACCAGAGAGCGTTGACAGAGAGGAGAAGGTAGAAATGACTCAGCCTGTAACTGAAAATATGGATGGAGGACAACAGAGCTGCTTCATGGAAGAAGAACCTCAGCTTAGCCTGTTAGCTTTAGCATTAGCCCCGACGCTTTCACCATATATATGTATTAGCTCAGCGCTACAGATTCTCCTCTCGTCACTGAGGTCCTCCATCCACATGACAGAGAGGGGAACGCAAAAATGACTCAGCAACTGAAAATATGGATGGAGGACCTCAGTTTAGCTTGTTTGTCGCTCTAGCGCCGAGTTAATACATATAAGGCAATATAGTGTCGGCGCTAGAACAAAAGCTATCAGGCTAAGCTGAGGTTCTTCTTCCATGAAGCAGCTCTGTTGTCCTCCATCTATATTTTCAGTTCCAGGCTGAGTCATTTCTACCTTCTCCTCTCTGTCAACGCTCTCTGGTTTCATTTAAAAGAGTCGATCATCAGATATTGTCCAAGATTAACCTTCAGGGTGGATATAGCTCGCTCACACHGAGGACCTATCCACGTCATCATTTACCCAGAATGCTTTGTGTGTAAATAAAATGTCTCCATCCATGTTAAAATATATATTTTAAAAATTTACTAAACAGCCTACAGTGTTTTTTACAGTCTTTATTTTACATTTAAAATAAATGTTCATCAAATAAAGTCTAATGTTACAACTAATCAGTGATCCCTTTAAACTTCAAATGTCCCGTTTCTTTTTCAACCTGAGTCTGGTGTTGTGTTCTTCACCCGAGGACGGACCGGCCGCTACACGTTGATTGAGAAATGGCGTGACACGGAGCGCCTCCTGGCTCCACACGAAAACCCYGTGGTGTCCCTCAACAAGTGGGGTCAGTACGCCGGCGACGTGCAGCTCATCCTCCAGAGAAACGGCCCGTCCATCAGCGAGCGGCCGACCTCCGAGGGGCTGGCTCGTGTCCCAGAGAGGGGGCTCTACCGCCAGAGCCTCCCACCTCTGGCCAAGCTTCGCTCGTCTGGGACGGACCGCTCGTTCAAACGAAGGGAGCCCAAACGCAAGTCGCTGACCTTCACCGGGGGCGCCAGGGGTCTGCGGGAAATCTTTGGAAAAAGCAGAGATGCTGAAGGTACTACATGTGGTTAAGGAGGGTGTTATTTTTTTTTTTWACGAAAAACAATTAAATGTCCATTTCTTTTTTTCTCCGTACCGTTCCACTCTCAGCCAAGCAGACGCAGCATCGTGGCGTGAACCTGAACCTGAGCAGACTGGGAGGTGGAGGAACTGCGTCTCTGTCCGGGAGTCCTGCCAGAGAGCTGAACCAACTGGTGCAGCTGCAGAGGGACAAGCTCCAGGCGCTGGAGAGCCATCTGCTGGGCTGTGAGGCCGAGCTGCAGGACTGGGAGGAGGTCACAGGCCAGAGCAGCGATGTGGGTGCCCTTACTCTTTAAAAAAAACATCAAATAAGCTTCTCTTTAAAGCAGTTGTGTTTTCTTTAATTACCAGGAGGGCAACCTGGAGGACGAGCTGCTGCTTTTGGAGCAGCAGGTGAGGAGGAACGACGCGGAGGTGGAGGAGGAGGAGTTCTGGCAGAACGAGCTGCAGATCGAGCAGGACGGAGAGCGGCAGCTGCAGCAGCAGTTAGCAGAGCTGCAGGGCCGCGTGCACGACTGTGAAGCCAGACTTTCAGAGTACTTAGTGCGTGCTCAGGTAAGACTGAGCTTTTACACATCTTTGCTTTGTGTTCTGTAACAACAAAAGCCACAACACAACAACAAAAGCCTCAACACAACAACAAAAGCCTCAACACAACAACAAAAGACTTCACACAACAACAAAAGCCTCAACACAACAACAAAAGACTTCACACAACAACAAAAGCCTCAACACAACAACAAAAGACTTCACACAACAACAAAAGCCTCAACACAACAACAAAAGCCTCAACACAACAACAAAACCCACAACACAACAACAAAAGACTTCACACAACAACAAAAGCCTCAACACAACAACAAAAGCCTCAACACAACAACAAAACCCACAACACAACAACAAAAGCCTCAACACAACAACAAAAGCCTCAACACAACGACAAAAGCCTCAACACAACGACAAAAGCCTCAACACAACGACAAAAGCCACAACACAACAACAAAAGCCTCAACACAACAACAAAAGCCTCAATACAACAACAAAAGCCACACCACAATGGCAAAAGCCACACCACAACCATAAAAGCTTCAACACAACAAAAGCCACACCACAACCATAAATGCCTGAATACAACAACAAAAGCCACAACACAACGGCAAAAGCCACAACACAGCAACAAAAGCCACAACACAACAACAAAAGCCTCAACACAACAACAAAAGCCACACCACAATGGCAAAAGCCACACCACAACCATAAAAGCTTCAACACAACAACAAAAGCCACAACACTGCAATAAAAGCCCACAACACAACAACAAAAGCCTCAACACAACAGCGAAGACATAAAAATGATAATTAAAAGGAAAATAAAAGAAAAAGCAATGATTTGTATTTGTCGATGCTGCCCATGCCATAGGAACTAATGCGCCCCCATACCATCAGTGAGGCAGGCTTTTGAACTGTGCACTGATAACAGGCTGCCTGGTCCTTCTCCTCTTTAGTGTTGAGGTTGTGATATTTAGGGTTGCCACAAAACATCTTCAAAGAAGGATTTTCCAGTTTCCCTTCCTTCATTTTAAATGAACTCGATGGTGTTAACATACGGCTGCTTTTTTGTATGATAGAGCTTTAAGCAATGTTTGTTGAAGGCAGGGTGAACAGAAATTATTATTATTTTTATTTGAGCTTGTAAAACAGTGTATTACAGGTCTTACTTTAGCTTTGTGTGATCTTTTTTATTTTTATTTTTTTGCTGTTTTGTTTAGAGTTTGGAGGCCAGCCTGGAGCGGGAGGCTGAGCTCAACCTGAAGGTGAAGGAGGAGGAGGTACAGATCACTTAAACTTGGATTATAGGGTTATAAATACATACCAGCCTGCAAACAGAAAGGCATGTTTACATTGAACAACTGACAAACGAAAGGTTTATCTCAAGCTCCTGCATTGAAAAGAACTTCAAACTTATATTTTCTCCACTTACAACCCAACCAATTATCACGTCATCAATTTAAAATGTTTTTGCACATTAAAATTCATCTCTTCTGTTAAAATCTGAGGTATAATCTCCTTTTTTTGTGTTCCTTTGAAGTTTTTACCAGTATTTTTTTTTTCCATTTTGGATTGCAGGTGCAAGCCCAGCTGCAGAAAGTGAGAGAAGAGCTGGAGGTGCAAAGCCAACAAACGGCACGGCTGGACAGCAGCTGCAAGGCGTTGGAGCGCTCGCTTTGCCAGTCAGGCAAGAGACTTCAGGTCAGACCCATTTCTCCTCTGTTTAATGAGTTTTGCAGCGTTGATAATGCCAAAATTGAACATAATCTCTTTTGCATTTGGCTTCAAAAGTGATGATGAAAGTAGGTTTGAGAAAGTGTGGAAACATAGAAAGCAAAACCCTGCTTGCAGAGATGTGCAGTGGATCATGCTTCCTGGTATAAAATTAAGTTCTGTAGCCATTATAATATGAAATAGTATTAACAGCATTATCTGCTTGATTGTCTTGAGGGATCGTCTGCATTTCATTAAAATGAACTCACTTTGAGGTAATGAACTGATGAAAAGAAAACATCTGAGTCAGTTGTTTGATGAAAAAGCAAACGTCCCATCGAAGTAACTGCACTCGCTCTGAGCCAGACTCCTTGTATCTGCCGCGGCACAGGCCTCATTGTCTTGTCACGCTGTATTTTCCACCGCAGGAGAAAGAGCAGGACTTGGAGCAGCTGACGAAAGAGCTCCGACAGGTCAACCTGCAGCAGTTCATTCAGCAAACAGGCACCAAAGTGACTGTGCTGCCTGCACAAGCTGCAGGGGGCAACAACGGCAACGGTATCTATAAAACCAGGCTGAAAAAAATATCTCTACCTTAACATCAGATTTACAAAAAAGATCCGTTTTTAAACTCATTACCTGGTTTTTGGCTACATTTGTGTGGAAACACTGCTCCCTGGTGGTCATCCTCAGAATGAGCCATCATAATTATCCAAGAGTATTCTTGATAAATCTTTGAAAAGGAGCTGATGATCAAACATTTTTTTTGTTTTCACACTGCAGATGTGGAGTGCGGCTCTCTGAAGCGACTCGGTTCCTCCCGACTTTTACCCAGCGACCTCCGCGCCCTACAGAGCCGGGTCTCATCCAGCCTAAACCCAGAAGGCATCTACGTCTGAACTCGGTGAAGTCCAAAACAGACGCACAGCTGAGCGACCCGACGACACGTCTAAAAACTGGTGTCGGACCTCCAGTTCTCCAAAACAAGGGGGGAAAACTTGCATCTGTTTTTCGTTTTGCCTCCATCCCGCTGGAAATGGGATTCAAACTGATGTCAATATCAGTGTGCATATTTAACGTTTTAACTCCGAACTGTGGCGGGTGAGCGAGTGCTCCCTCGGAATCACAAAGCAAAAACCAAACCAGCAGATCTGTTTTTTTCAGCGAATGGACGCTTGAGGCCACCGCTGCAGACAAATTGTATTTACATTTCTGTAAATTGGAAGAGAATTTCAGGAGTTTTGTCTGATGTACAGAAATACTAGATGCATGAGCATGCACAGACCTCACTTGTGTTATAACCATAGCCATATCTGGTTGCCTTACCCTGGTGTTTTTAGCACCAGACACCAAAAACGAAGGAAGTTAAAAATAAAACTTAAGGTAGTTGAAAACACTATGCGCCATATAAATTTTAAAAAATGCATCCCGGCAATTCAGGAAACTGCTGGTCATGATAATCAGTGTCAATGTAGCTCATACCTGGATCGAGGTTTTCTTTTTTTTTTTTCTTTTTTACACCAATTTAGATAATCGTGTGGTTTAAAATGCAATATAAACTAACCTATTTTTTTGTATTTTACATTTATGAAGGAAATCCCCTGCCTGTCATGAGCACAGCAAGGGGAGAAAACACTTAAAAAGCCTTTAGAGTAGCTGAAATGTTATAAACTCAGTGTTAAAATGCAGTGTCAATAAGTGACCACCAGGTGGCGACAAAACACATGTTATCCAGGCATCGTACACTGGTCGTGTATGAATGTGGGTCTTAATCTGGAACAAAGCCTAAGCACTTTATTTATGAAGGTGCCACTTTTTTTCATTTAATTTTTAACATTTTAACAAACTAAAGATGTCTCATATGAACCAAAGCTAGTGTATAAAAATAAATCAATAGTTAGAAGAATGTATTTTATATATACAGATATAGATAGATATGCCGTACATATGTGCTATAGTGTCAAAATATAAAATGTGTTTTAGTGGGCGGGGCTATCACAGATCATTCAAAAAGATACCTACAGCAGGTAAGATATTAATTATTCATAATCTTCCCCAACTTCAAAACATATGAAGTATCCCTTTAAAGTCACCTTGACATTAAGTTTGATATTTAAGTGTCTGTTGGACACAAAGTCTTTTATAACCTAGTGGTTAAAAGAAGAGGAAAAAATATATACATTAAAAAAATGCTGACTCATCCTGCGTTTAGTTGCAAATACAAATGTAGCTTTCTATTAAACACTTTAAACATTTAATTTCAGCAGAGACGATGTGAAATCYTTCTCAGGGTGCCGTCAGGCCTCAGCAACTAGTTTCACAAGAAATTTGTTAAGAAAATCCTGCTTGTTTTCTGGAGGTGTATATTTCAGTTTTCTGCTACGCATCGGCTCTTTTGTTTTCAAGCTGTTTTAATTTGCGCCGCCATAAATCTCCATTTGTCCACGAGCTTGAAAAATTCCCTGCAGTTTATTAATTTTTTTATTTTTTTATTTTGTATGTGACAAACACTGGCTTTTCTGCACTCACTTCATCTGACAAGCTGGAAAACCTTATCTGAGCTTGTGGAAAGATGTATAGTAAAGTGAACTCCACCCCTCAGCTTCTTTTATCACATTTCTTTTTTCTAACCGCTCAGCCACAGGAAGCTGCTTCTGGATTGTCATGGTAACATTCTCAGCCCCTCGCCAACGAAAAGTTTTCAATAATAGCATGCCTTACKGAGAAGAAACGAACGTCTACATATCACGTCAATGTAAAGACTATTTTTACAGTAGGCTGAGGTCTGATATATGCAGAATGGCAGTTCATAGACTGGATGTGCATGCTGATGTGTGCTCCGTTTATTTGAACTCCCAATTAACGGCAACCAAGAAAATTCCATCCCGTTTTGCCCTGTTGACTTTTAATGAGTGGGTTTTAGCAGGAATAAAAACAGCAAAAACCTCCTCATTATTTCCATGCCTTCTTTCTCTTTTTTTTAATTTTATTTGACAATAATGCTTCTGAATGTAAAGCGGAGCTGTGTTGCATTGGATAAAACAACGCCGTGGCTGCTTGTTTCTTCTCTGATTCACGCTGTAAGACGTTGACAATAATTGGCTTCTGTTGAGCCATTGGTGGCTCTTTTTTTTCCCCCCACAGCAGAAGTGCATACACAAATGAGATGATGGAGCCATTATGAAAACAGCCATCAAGAGGTTTTTTAAAAAAAAGCTTATTGAGAAACGTCGTGGCTCAGGGACATTTCAAGATGCAGCATTACCCAGACAAGAATGGATGGAAAGTAATTACGGATAAATGCTTCCTTTTTTTCCCCACGACGTCTCGATCTGTTTGACAAGTTAAATCAAATGTTTGTTATATGAAGGACCCGACGCTTTGATGCATCGTGGCAAAGTGAAGTAACCGTGGAGGAAATGTAAATATTAAAAAGAAGTGTTTCAGATGTCCTCGAAGCACCCTTCAAAGTGTTTACATCAACACTCCTCCTGTAAACATCCTAATCYGATGCTTTAACCTTAAAATATCAAATATTCTACTTAATATTTTGTATTGTCTGCCTACAAAGTCCCCCAYTGTATTTTTTTATTCTGTCAGAATGTATCCAACCTTCCTCTTCGGGTTCAAGTTGCTTATCGAATTCAAGAATAATGTAAACATATAAATAAGTGATAAACATGGTAATGTTAATAAACTGATGCTCAGTGCTGAATTATGTGTTATTCCTCCTTTTTTCCAATCAAAAACTGGTATTAAAAGATTTTTACTTTCAACGTGTTGGCCTAATCTAGTTTTAAAGTCCCACCGACATTGATTTTTCATGATAAATATGATTGCGTGTGTCGAAAGATAACATTAATAACATATTGCAAAAGAAATTTGAYGCTGCTGAGATGAACGGTTGTTGAGATATTTGCGTTTGAAGTAACAGGAAGTGATGTCAAAGGGGAATGTCTGCATGTAAATAGCATGGCACAGATKGTAGAGAAGAATCTGATGTTTCCTTAGATTATTTTGAGTCACTATCAAAGACATGAAGAAGAGATCAAACCATATTGTTTCAGTAAACAAAGACTATAGMGAGTTTATTTTSTTAAAGAGTTCCCCTTTGATGTCACTTCCTGTTTCACTTTAGCCGAGCCAAGATCAAAAGAAAATASGCCAGTTTTGTGACAAAATGAGTAAAATCAGTTGTATTATGTCAAGTTTCTTATATAAAGATGTTTTCTTTGGSTTTTTGTYATAACCAAGTAGTTTCGTTTCCTAAACTTTATGGAAGTAAAACAAATCAAGACATTTTCATGTTGGGAAAATGTCTAATTTAGTTTATTTCTAGGTGGTTTCCTAAAATAGATWATAGGGGATTTGATGTTWATCCTAACAACAAGGTCTAMTTTTATGKTCTAAGTGGATTTAATAGCTAATCYTAACAAAACAAGAGGTAAAACCAAAAAGTTTCATGTGGTAAACATTGTGGAACAGTTCACTTTAACCCGTCATGATGATTTCTTAATTTTTCGCTCCTGAAGTCTTGATCTAAAGAAGTGGTTTAATTGTTTGTCCTAAACAAGTGGTGCTCTGAATTTTAAAAAAAATCTGACAACTGCACCTCAAAACAAACCTGTTCTCTTATTATTTTTCATCTCAAAACTAGTTTTTTTTTAATCTCGTCATCCATCACTTTTTTTATTCCTCTTTTGACTGAAATGACGACGGTTGCCAGCAGATTTCATCAGCAGTATGTAAATAAGCTCATGACGAGTTCCTGCTTGTTCTCCATCTGCCGCTCACGCCGTGCTGTCGTTTACAACTTGTTCTGCTGCAGCTCTCGAAAGTCGGGGGCCCGGAGCCGACTGCGAGGTCATCAAACACCAAGTGGAGGAGATTGAATTTCACCAAGATTGATTAAAAAAAAGGTAGAAACAGAAGCTAGAAATGGATAAAAAGTGTTTTGGATTTTGTTTGTTGTCATTAATTCATTGTTTGATTGGATTTTAAGCATGTTTGTGTTCTTTAAAGGGATAGTTCAGATCTTTAAGGTGGGTTTTGTGGAAAATTTATTTGTTGTAGATTTGAACAACCTTTAAGGGGTCTCTGTAAGGGTTTGGGATCACAATTTGTGTGGGTTTTTACCCAGTTTTGAGTCTTACATCAAAAGTATAACCTGTAACTCTGGTGGAAATGTAATATTTAGTTTAAAACCAAACAGAATATGCTGCCTCGTGAATGTGCCGGAGGCGTCTGCACGACTTTTGCAGTAAATAAGATCAGACAGAAGCGCAAATGACCCTCTTCAAATCTGCAAAAGAGGATGAAAACAACTTATTTTTTAATATTTTTCTGAAGTGCGGGAAGCAGAGGCTCTTTACCTGCACTTCACTCAAGCAGCTGTCAGAATCCCATCTCCACTCTCAGGCCATGCAGACAGCTTTTATTTTATTATTATTTTTAAAGAAGAAGAAACAGAGAAATGTGCAGAATAACTGCAATAAAAGTTTCTAGAAAAGACCCAATTTCAGATATTCCTCAAGTTTTGAGTCAGACTTTTAATACTTCTCAGAGTTGGAGGACTGTGGCCATCACGCCAGGTGTTTTTAACTGGAGAAAGTCATTTGTCCCCCTCGGTGTCCCCTGTGTATTCCAGCTTTAATGGAGCTCWACAGTTGGGTCAGAGGGGCTCTGATTACATCTGTGACCCTGCAGCATCGCATCACACTTAAAGATTTGAAGCTATAAACGTTGACCCCCCGTTTGTTTCATTTTGCGCCCGTTGTCTTTCAAGTAGATTTAATCTCAAACAGCGTCTCCACTTTAAAAACGTACACCTGATTTCATTTATCCGCGCATCTTCGGTTCCTATTTCGGCGACGTTCCTCTAATTTATTGGAAAATCTGTAGAAAAGCGGCGTGACGAGGCCTTCGTGAGAAAGTCAGGATGAAGTTTCCAGATTAAATGCGAGAGGTTTCTAAAGGCGCAATACCCTAATGAAACCTAATCGGTTTACCTTCGTGTGTAAATTATAGCACACAAATTAAACAATTGTGTTTAAAATGAATTATGGTTCACCCAGATGATTTCTCAGACTATCACAGGTGTGTGTGTCTTCTGCYGTGTATGTGTGTAAGCCCTGGCTGATGCTGACATTAAATAGCCCCTTGGCCCATCTCCTGAATTTGTTTATTCTGCACTGGGCCTGGGAGTAGGTGGCAAACAGATGGGCATCCATGAATTATGGAAATGATGGGCTTTGATTAACCACCACACACTCTGCTGGATAAAAGTAACTCCGRTGTTGCCAAGTTGTGTGGCACAGTCAGTCATCAGCGTGATGGACCTGATACTCCATTGATGTTTGCTGCTTAGTCTTAAAACACATATAAAACTGCAACATTTATCTTTACTATTGAAGTGGACCTGTGCTGATAGGTCCAATCTTTCTAGTTTTATTTGTAAGATTTTAAGAAATATAAAGTTTCAGGAGTGGTTAGATTAACTTTTTGGAACTTGTTGCAACTGAAATAACAACAAAAAGAAATCAAAATGCTTTGTTTTTTTTTTTTTGCCTGCAGCATGCTAAGCTAACCTGCTTTTGCTTTTAGCACCTTTAGTGTTGCAGCTTGAAGACATCAGTCGACGAATGGAGTAGTTTTTATCCAAACATTTATTTTCTTTTAAAATGGCTGGCTCGCCATTTTATGTTGCAGCTTGAAGACATCAGTCGACGAATGGAGTAGTTTTTATCCAAACATTTATTTTCTTTTAGCTCCACACAGAATATAAACTGGCTCCACACACTCACGGTACTTCTGCTGCGGTCAGAGTCCGGGTGTAAAGTAACGTTCAAGAGACGCCCGTTTCAGAACCTTTCCACATGGTGCATTCAGTGACATCCAGTAAATACC